TACAACAGCTTGAGCTGAAAATTGCCTTCTTACATTTTTAACAGCTGATTGTGTTAATTTGAATTCTATTTGTTTTCTAAGTCCATATTTTTTATACAAATTAAAAACTGCAGACTTTATTGATGTAAGTTTTTCATTAGCTCTATTTTTAATAGGTTCAGGAACATAGTCCATAATCCAATTAGCGAATGAATTAACTTTGTTTTTAACGATATTAATATACTTACTTGGAACATACTGAGTAGGTGTTAGAGCATTTTGTTTGATATTACTTGGAATAGGTTCGTCTAATATATTTTGTAAATTTCTTAAAAGATCTTCTTTTCTCATTCAATAATAATATTTAATTTTTGAAGTCCCCAAAGCTTTCCTCACTTGTACAGGTTTCCTCAGTGATGTGGACATACCTGATTATTTGAGTCATCTGCTCTTTGTGGGAGGCATCTGGAGTGCAGTCAAACAAAACAGAGTAGTATTTAGCTTCTCTGACATTTGACAAATTTTCATTCCTGACTTTCTGCCCAAGTAATTCAATCAGCTCATTTTGAATTCAAGGAGAAAAGTAGAATGTTGTGGTTTTCTTTGCCTTAACGGATGCAACGTGTTCAGCCACTAAAGGATAATAATGGGTTATCGGCTCAATTAAGTTCAGAAAGATGCCACTGTTTTGCTCTCCAATTACTTCTGTTGAACCCCGAAGGGCAAGATTGTGCTTGGCACAGAACAAAATTGCATTAAGAATCACTTTCAAGATATCTCTCCACTTTTTCATCTCTCCGTTGATAACTCTCTGCAGATCAGAATCCAAGGTCTTTCCTTCATTGAGATTTTTTTCCAGATTTTTCCAATCAGAATAGCATCTTTGGTGTTCATTGCTGTTTTCGTGTTCTGGAGTTCTTAGGTTTATTTTTTTCCAGTCACAAAATCCTTTTGAAATTTCTGAAAAATTGTTGGTTTTTGTCGTTGAAAATAGCAGACAGCAAAAACAAAACAAAGAATCTTTTTTGTTGCTGTACAGCAGCCAGTAGGGAACAAATTTTTCACCATTGGGATGAATTTTTTCATACCATTTTAAGCTGAAGTGTCGCATTCTGTTGTCAAAGTCACAAAGTGTGTTTGGGAAAAATTCTCTTCTTTCTTGCTCCGGCCCATGCTGAATCAAAAAGCACCTTGTTTTATCTGTCATTTTAGGCCATGTAGCTGGATCACTGTGTTGAAAGTTTTCTCCTGAGGTTGCTGAAATTTTTGAGATTTCAGGAGGAAATTCACTGTTGCCCTTTTTAATTGGTTTGGAAAGCTGAGAATTACTATCTTCTTGTGCTTCTGAATCATTTGGTCCAAATTCGTCTTGACTTTGGCCAATCAAAATCTCCTCTTCAATTAATTCCAATGGATGATATGAATTTAAGTCAGTAATTAAAGATGTAGCAGCAACTTCAGCTGTTGAATCATTATCAACTTCATTGCAAATATCCTCTGAAATAATTTGTTTTTCCACAGAAGAGTTTGTTACCAACCACTTCTTGAAACAATTTCTTAGTTTTGCGTCACTTTCAAGACGGTCTCTTCTTTTCTTCTTAAATTCAGCACCAGATAATTTTTTTGCACGATTTATTGTAAAAAATAATGTTGAGAAAATACAACTTTTTATTTTTTAATTGCGCTCTTCTATTATTTCTTTTTTCTTTTTTCTTTTCTTCTCCCTCTTTATTTTTATTATTATTTGCTTACTTTACTTTCTTTAGCTTTCATTTCACTTGTTTCTTTATTTAAGCCGCTTAAATTAAGCGTTCTTTTTTTTAAATTCAAAGTTCTTTTTTTCTATATTTTTTTCTTTTTAGAATAATTTTTAATGTGTGCGTTAAATTAATTTATATAATCCTTAATGAATCATTTGTTTATATTATAAATAATTATTGGTTTTTAATTGTCGTTCTTAAATTCAGCACCAGATAATTTTTTTGCACGATTCATTGTAAAAAATAATGTTCAGAAAATACAACTTTTTAGTGTTTAAGGGCGCTCTTCTGTTTGGTAAATGAGCTTTTATTTTAAAGTTCGTATTTTAAAGTTATTTTATTTTATTTATTTTCAATTTTATTTTGTTTTATTTATTTTTAATTTTAGAATGGTTTAGCTATTAAAATAACTAAACATTAGGTTCAAAATGTCTAAAATGTCTAATTCAAAAGGTCTAAAACTCATTATATGCATAATAAGATTGTTTTTCTTCTTCTTCAATAGACTTTTGTAATTACTTAGCTAATACTTAGTCGCTTCATTGTAAATTAAGTATTTCGAAGTTCTAGGGTTGGGATTAGGTTACAAATACTAATATATGATTTTAACCACGTGTTAATATTTGTAGCTCTCTTAAATTTTGAGCACTTTATCAAATAAATATGATATTCATACTACTATTTAATTTATCTAGGTATTGTCTTAAAAAAAATCATGGTTAAAACAAGAAGTGGGGGATGTAGATCATACCAAAATTTCACCGGATGTCGGTTGGAAAGATTACTGCTGTAACAGAGGTTACAATATGTTAAAATACAACTCATCTTCATGATGGTATAACTCCTTCAATATCTGGTAGTACTCTTGACATTTGTTAAATAAAGCAGCTACCAACAATTGATGATTCTTTAATTCGTGTCAGTAGTTCCAATCATTTCATTGCAATGGAATGATTGGAACTATTGACACGAGTTAAAGAAACATCAATTGTTGGTAGCTGCTTTATTTGACAAATATTGGTAGCTGCTTTATCTGACATGCTTAAATGACAAATTGTTGGTAGCTGCTTTATCTGACATGCTTAAATGCACTCATCATATTTACTTCACTCCATTTTAGGAATTTTCCCCGTTTCTTAACAGTAACTGATTGATCAATGCATTGATACATACAGTTAAAATGTCTTCACACACATCAATCTGGCTTCAACTATGCGACTGCGCCTGCGCCACTAAAGGATTATTATTGCTCTACAGCACAAGATGGTTCAGTTTTCAGGAACTATTATTTATTGTTCAAATTATGCAGGGATGTTTGCTTCAGCGAGGGAAAAAGCAATGACTTCTAGCAACATTACATTTGGGTTCAAGTCGTGTGAAATTAATCCATTTAATCCTTAGCCTATTCCTAGTGATGCATATTTGCTAAGAAGATATATCAGCTAGTACAACCATTGATGACATTTCAAAACCTGGTGCAGATAATGGTCAAGGAGTTGAAAATGTTTTGAACAATGGTATCGGCGAATTATTGATTGACATAGATGGGAATGAAAATCTGAATATACATAAAAAGAATGTGGACTTCTTTTAAATTTACTAATAATATCATCACTCCGACTACATCACAATGTTTTAGTATTGTACCGTTGTGTTTTTAATAATACTACTATACAATAAAAATTATTATTTAAACACTAGCTTGCAATTGTGACTAATTTTTTATGTACCAAATTGATAAAAATTCTGAAGGAAGCATAAAGTTTACTAGCATTTAAATAGTATTATTTTCTTAGGAATTCCAATCATCAATTGTTCAAGAACTTAATTATTCAGACTTTGATGCTTCTATGGATGCTGGAAAAGTTGCTAATTATCTAGAAAAATTACAATAGCACAGAAGATGACGCAGTTCACAGTACAAAGCAACGCTTCTATTTTGGAAGAAGAAACTGTTGTTCATGATAAGCAGCTTGCATATTTAGTCAATCCAGTTAAAGAAAAAAATATTGACTTTGTTTTGAATAGTTTTACCAATCTTACTAAGCGAAAAGAATATAAACCTTTGAACCACTAAACTTTAAGTCTACGACACTATCAGCTTTTCCATTTAAAAACTCTTCCTACCATGGTAATTCAATCGTTTTACAAAATAATCAATAGTTTCGTAGCAACAATGCAGCTTTTAAAAAAATTTTAATTTTGAAATAATTCAAAACGTATATGCTTTAAGCAGGATTCAAACTTCCAACCTTTGTACTTGTACGAGTTCCATGCTCTAACCACTACGCTACGGCTGTTTAATATAAAAGTTAAATTTATAACTAAGGCAAAAGGAAAGCAATGTTTGTCTAATCGCTACGGCCCGTAGCCTGTGGTGTGTTGAAAGTTTATTTTATTTACACATTTTACAATAATAATTAGGATTAATCATAGAATCAGAATCTAGAAAGGAATGAAAGTTCGCATTCAAAAAAAACCTCTTGGTTTTATACTTTTCTAATTAAAATGGTGCAATTGAGCATAAAATCAACTAATGAGATTTAATCTCACTCACCTGTATATAACGTCGATTATATGTTCCTTTTTAAAATCACACAGTGGGCGACTTTAAATCAACATGGCGAGATTGAGTTTAAGTGGGCGAAAATCAGTGCTTTTGACACACTGTACAATTTATAATGGTACTGCCAATCACTCTCATAAAACCTTGTTACGTATACATAAACTTGTTAGGTATATAAAATGTTACGGTATATAAAAATGTAATTTCATAGAAAGTTGACGCTCATAACAGTTTGATTATATACTTTAATATTATAAAAGTTGCAGTAACATGGTTTCATTTTAAAATTAAAAACATTAGTCGAATAAAATAACTCAGGTGAATCAAAGACCAAAGCATTATCTAAAAGTGACATTAGGAAGAAAATATTTTTGTTATTAAATTTGATACCATGAATCTGATAAAGGTTTTTGAAAATCATTAAAATGGGTCTTATAATTAATCATATTTCTTTAATAAACTTCATCCCCAACCTCCTTCTTCCATTTTCATAGTTTTGTTCTTTACATCAATTTTCATAAAAATACAATTTATATATGGTTATAATTATAATTGTGTTCAAAATACTAAGCCGTCATACAAAAAGTTATTAAAAAGTATTAATACTTAAAACTGCTAAACTTTCGAAAGCTTAACATTCCATTTTATAGCTATTATTTTTTTATTAATATAAAACAGAAGCATTAAGCATAAATGCATATATTTCCCAATTAAATAAATTTAGAAAAGTATTGTGAAATTTTGACTTTATTAAAGGACTCAACAATGATATTGTTATAGCATTTTCACAGATGCAGTTATAATAAAAATGCAAGAGTAATCTCATGGAAGTACTCGAGTACTTCCATGAAAATATCAGTGATATAATATTGCCGAAAGTTCATCATTTTTTTATTCGTATAAATAAAGTTTTGTACTAACGTTGAAAAAGAGGTAACTACTTACTTTTTTCAGTTTCCTTTTTTTCTATAAAGTTTTATAATATATATTTATATATACATTATGTATATACCAAGGATAAAAAGTTTTTTAAACGTATAAAGCAAGAAGCTTATCTAATAGAGATTCAATATAAACTAAAATTTTATCTATAAAAATTCCTACAAAATGTCTCAAAACTTTTTAAAAAACTATAAAAAAAGTTTTTATAGAAAAGATTATAAAATTACAACCACTTTCATAGAAACTAACAGAGTTTTTACACAAACACTATCAAAATTTATATTAATTATATCCATAAAAGTTCATAGAAACATATCGTCCAGGATAAGATTTCAGGCATAATGGTATTTTTGTAAGTTTTATTCCAAATACGTAAAAATATCTAAATGTCCGCAATATTTCCCTATTTTTGTCTTAAACGCAATAAGCGTGTTTCGGACAAAACGATTTGACCAAAATATCATGGTCAATATGGACAAATTTATCATGGTATTTACTCTGAATACCCCTGTCAGAATATTATAAGTCATAACAACTTTTTTTAAAGGTAAGATCGCGCGTTATTATTATTGCGCGATAATATAATTGCGCTTTAAAAAATTTCCACTTCACAATATTTGTAAACATCTTTCAATCTTGCTGGAACAATGGTTTTTAAAATTACTTATACATAAAACTAAATTTTCGACTTAATTATTTTATTATCTACATGCTTGGATTAGTTAACTGAGATGTAAATTATTCTCTTTTTAATTTAGATATTAGTCATTTAAACACTATACATACGTATACCTAAGAATGCGTATTAGTTTTTTTTTATTATACACAAAAATAAAAAAAAGATTAGGTTGCATAATTTATCAGGTTACTTGATCATTGATACTTTATCAGGTTGATTGTTGATAATTTATTAGTGCATCAATTTTATTCCAAAATGAAAAATAAGTAATTTATTTTTGTTTGAAACTTATTATGTTTTACTTACTATATTATTTTTAACTGTCTCTTTACCTCGTAATGTCACGTTGACTTTTTAGCTTAGGACATTTCAATGAGTTTAATATAGCTATCATGACCCGTAAAATACGGGTCTTGGTAAATCTATTCCACACCGACCTTTTCTATACTTATTCTATAAAATATATTTTAGTAAGTGGCAGAAAAATAATTAAATACATGTATAATAACAATACTTTTTACTTTTTACTTTTGTAAACTTTTTACTTTTTACTTTTTACTTTTGTAAACTTTTGAAACTTATTATGTTTTACTTACTATATTATTTTTAACTGTCTCTTTACCTCGTAATGTCACGTTGACTTTTTAGCTTAGGACATTTCAATGAGTTTAATATAGCTATCATGACCCGTAAAATACGGGTCTTGGTAAATCTATTCCACACCGACCTTTTCTATACTTATTCTATAAAATATATTTTAGTAAGTGGCAGAAAAATAATTAAATACATGTATAATAACAATACTTTTTACTTTTTACTTTTGTTTACTTTTTAAAGCTATAAGATAAGTTTTCTATTATATTTAACTTTTAACATTTCAGTAGACGTTGCGCGAATCACTATTTATCAACGAATCGGATATCAGTACCAGCCTAAATAATATTTAGAACACCCACTTGAAATTAAATAACATTGGTATAAATTTCAATAACATGGGATGACTTAGATATGTAGAATAACTGACTTATCATGATCCATATAATTATTACTGAATATAAATATATTACTGGTCATGGTAAGTCTATTCCACACCTACCATTTAAATAATTTTGTTTTATTTCAATAATTTAAAAAAAAGCCAAAATATAAAAATCTTTGTGTTGAGTTAACGATTAACTTTCAATATTTTACAACTTCTGTAAACTTGAAAAAGAAAATTGTTTGGGTAAAATATGCGGATTATATTTTCCTCTTAATTTCGCTTTGAGCTGAGTTGTTTGAAATTTTTTTAAATTTTAGTATGAGTGATGAGTGTAAAAACTAAAAAAACAAATATATTACAAAAATGTATTCCTAAACTTGTATATGTATAGAAAACGTTTTGACTATCCGGACAAACTAAAAGTTGAGAAAAATTCGAAAAAAGATGCCTGTTATTAGGATTCTTGCCCTGCTAATTTTAAAGAAAACTAAAGTTACCATGTAAAATCTTTTTTCTACAAAAAAGAAAATTATCTCTTTAATGCAAACACTTAATCTATTACTAAGCACATTAAAACCTCAAACTCTAACGTGACATACGCGCGCAACAAACTTTGAACGGTGTTTTGGTGTTTTAAGAAATTTTAAAAAGCATTTTAAATGTTCTCTCCCTTTCATTTGTTAAAGTTTGTTTGATATGCTTATAATCTCTATAATCCTTTAAAGTCGCTTTACTTTGATAAAAAAATTAGGCGTGAAAACAAAAAGGTTTAGACCTAAACGAAGGCGAAACCACTTTGGCATGCTACATACAGTGTTAAAAGATAATATTGTAGCATGCCAAAGTGGTTGAAGTAATTCGCGTGGGTCTAAACCTTTTTGTTTTCAAGCTTAGTCTTTTTATCAAAGTAAGGCAATTTTAAAGGTCTTTATAAAGAGTTATTAAACTTTATAAAATGGTATTAAATTGTTTATAAACCATTATAAAAACTTTATAAAACGGCATTAAATGCTTTATAAAAATTCATATAAATCAAAATTAAGAAAAAATTGCCCTAATAAAATTTTCAAGTAAAAGTGTAACATTTAATATCATTTTTAATAATTTACATAATTTGAAGTTTACGTCAGATATTTTTTGCAAAGACTTTTGTTCTTATAAATATGAATGATAAAGGATTGCGGTTTCAAACAAATGCCTAATAGAGCTTTGTAAAATTAAAGATATTTTTATTTACACATTTATTAACAAAGTGAAAAAAATACATCACATGTGTTAACTGGAAATCAATTTATTTTTACATAATAACAAAACAAAATAAATAAAGAAAAGTATGTATTTACAAAAAAAAGTTTTCATTATCAATTACCAATTGGTAAATTAACTGACTACAAAAATACTAATTATAGATGCAGCAGATTTTTTTTTCCACTACTTTCTCTCCTCATTGTTTACTTTCTACAGGATCAACACTATATAAAAAAAAGGATGGGGGGGGACGGGGTGAAGAAGTTTTGCCTTAAGTTTATGCCCATATCTTATGTGCCTTATGAGATGTGAGCCCACTATTTAATCTGCAATAAGCTGAAAAAGCATTGTAAGATGTCTAAAATAAAAAAGTTAAGAATTGAAAAAAGAAGTAAAAACATTAAAGATTAACACTACAAACCAATATACCTGTTGCTGATGCTTTTTCTAGAACATTGGTAAAAATAGTCAAAATCTGTAAGAAAAGACATTTATTGCAAAAACAATCAGCTATTACACAAAATAACCAAAACATAATAGCTACCGGTGCAAACAAATTTTGCAATTTGATCAGAAAATAAAAATATTCTCACCTTGATTGTGACAATTAATTTCCTTTAAAATTATTAGCTAATGATCAACTTAGCAAATTTTAAATAATTAAAGTTTACTAAGTTAAAATCATATTTTAACAGTAGACAAAGTAAACATGATAGTTGGTAGAGCACTTGAGTAGAACTAAAGAAATAAAAATACTAAATTTACTATGTGATGCATATTATACTTATTGAGTTCTCGCCTACCATGATTTCTTTTATTTTGATTACAATTTATCTCAGCTCGCCTAGACTCATCTCTTTCATTTTTGATGACAATTTATCTCAGCTCGCCTAACCTGGTTTAAGTAAATCTCTGTACATTAAGTTAAACATAATTTATGAAGAAAATCGAAACTCTTAAATGTTTTAATGGGGTAAAGCCTGTTTTTTAACAAAATTTATTTATCGTCAAAAGCATAAGTTGTTAACCAAAAGGAACAGAGCATAACAACATTTAAACATATTTTTTCAACACATTTAAGGAATAGGAAACAAGTTTTTTTAACAAAGTTTATCATAAAAACATAAATTGTTAACAAAAAAGAACAAATTAAATATCTTTTAAACAAATTTACTCAAAAAGTAATAGTATAAAAAAATATTTAATGAAATATAAATCTATTCAACAAAATTTACTTAAAATTATAAATATTAAAAAAACTGTAGATATTGTAGATTTTAAAAAACTATATATCTTTTCAACATTTCTTATAAACACATTCTTTCAACAATATTTTTTCAACACTTTTTATAGCTACACTAACTATAAACAGATTTAATTAATGTGTTACATCATGACAGTACACCACTTAACTGGAATGGACAACAATCTTGCTCCCAACAAAGCCAAGTCAAATTATAACAAAGTACACCACTTGGCTAACAAGGTCAATACTCTTGCTGTAAACTAAGCCAATTCACAACAATTTGAATCCATGCAAATAGCATAATAACAACTTACAAACTATAAACAAATAACAATATATCACTTATATATAAAACAGAAACACTTATATATAAAAGATATTTACACACTTACAAAATAAAAACCCATATAACCTTAACATATATAAGCACTTAATAAATAACACACAAATATAAATAAATATATAAATTAAGAAAAAATATATAAATTAGAAACTTTACAAATACTTATTTTTGTAATATTTGTTTAATGACATACCTCGTAATAAATATTTAACAATTTGCAAAAATAAACGATCTGGTTTTTTATAAAAAAGCAAACGGATTTTTTTTTTGACTTTAAAATAAAGTATTAAACGATCTTGTTATTTAAAATGTAGCATAAAGTTGACCGTGTGAGATGCAAGAGTTTTTGGAGATAAACACTAACTTTATCAAGAGTTTGACCTTTGAAAAGAGCACCGTAATTAATATACTTTAAATACAGTTCGCAAAGAACTTGAATTGTGTTATTATTATAATGTATGATTTTAAGTTACTTTCAAAAATAACATAAGGT